AAAAAAAAAAAAAAACAAGCAAGCAAGGAACTGACCTGCTGAACTTCGGCTGCTGTGCTCCTGAAGAGTTCAATGTATCTTTTACCCAACAAATCCTTATGTTTCCTCAGTGCATTCTGTGCATATTCCTCACAAGCAAAGAGGACAAAAGCGTCCCCTGTTGGCCTGCCATCTGGGTAGGTGACAAAAAGGATGCCTTCCTTCCCCCCAGTGATGGGGCAGTGCTGTCCAAAGAAGGCCACCACTTCTTCAGCTGTGGCTGTGAAAGGGAGCCCGCGCATGCGCACAATCACTTGATTCTCCTTGGAGAGAAACTGGGCTACTTCATTAGATGTACCTAGGAAAACCAAACGTTAGAAAGCATGGAGAGAAATGGGTGAGACATCAACATGACCAAATTCAAAATGCTTTGAATTTTATAAACTCCTGGCAATGTCTTGAATTCAAAATCAAGGCCTACCTTCCTTCTAAATTCATTTAAAAAAAATCATTTATTCATTTGGTACGGGGTCTCGCTATGCGGCTTGGACACCAGTGATCCTCCTATCCCAGCCCCCCAGCACTGTGATTTCAGCTGTGCACCACCACACGTGGTGTTCTGGGACAGACATGGCATGTGGTACTCAGGATCAACTCAGGTCCTTGCACTTGCCAGACATGCACTTAGACCCCTGAGTTATCTCCCCAGCCCCTGAATTCATTCTGATAATATCCTGGAAATAAAAATTCCTTTCTCATAAATTTGAAATGGTTCCCCAACCTATTCATAAAACATCCAGCTTAATGTAGAAAGCTGGCCAGACCACTGAATCCCAGGCCAAGGCATCATGCTAGTTAAAGGCATTGGGCAGAGGCGTTAACTCCAAGACAGGTGCCTGCCTACCACACACGATGCCACCATCTGATTCATAGGACATCAACCACAGCAACAATAAGCAGCACAGGTCCTGGAACCAGACTACCTGGGTCTAATCCTGGCTACTGTATTTACTAGAGGGTCTTCGCAAGCTTCACCTCTCGTGTCATGGTTCCCACATCTGTAAAAGTGCCTGCTTCATACATTATGAGAATTATGCAGGACCTGGTGGGTGCACGCCTGTAATTGTAATTTGTATGCATGAAATCCCAGTATGAGTGAGGATGATAAATTGCTTTGGGTTTGTTCTTGTTTTAACTGCTTTTTCACTGGCACAGGTTGTAAGCCATCCATAGGCGACTGCCTGTGATCCCAGCTACTTGGGAGGTTGAGGCTGGAGGATACCAAGTTTCAGGCCAGTCAGGCAATTCAGTGAGATATAAAAGGGATTGGGGGATGCAGCTCAGTGACAGAACACTAAACATGCATGAATCACTGGGTTCAATCTCCAGTACCACAAATAAACAAATTTCAAAAACAAATCAGAAAAAAAAAGAGTAATCAATATACGTGTATAGTATGCCATGAAGCAAATACTCAGGTTCATGTCCATCAAACTCATATGCAGCATACAATAGAACATTTTCCTTAATAGGAAAAAATTTTTTC